GAATACATATACCCTTCCTAGTTAGTTTATGTATTTTGTAGTATGAACTTTGTAGAAATATTTGTTTTTTATTTAAAAACCGTATTTTGACCTTTTATGTTTTATATATAAATTATTGTGATTGATTGTTTTTTATATAGTGTATCTTTGATTATTCTTTGGTGAATTGATAGATATGAGTTGGTTGGACAGTGGACATGTTGATTGAACATGTGTATATTGGACATGTTGATTGATTGAACAGATTTATATTGTAATTTTTTTTGAACAAAAAACGTATTACGGGAATACGTTTTTAGAAGTTAAACATATTCTCGTAATACGTGTTATTAAGACATTAAATTTTAGGGCAAAATTGATTTAGGGCAAAATAAAATTAAAACGTATTTTCAAAATACGTTTAATATTTTCAGAAAATTAAAATTTACAAAAAATAAGTTTTTCAAAACTATAAAATTTATTTAATATAAAAACGTATTCGGAACATACGTTTTACATTAAAACGTACTCTACAAATACGTTTTACAAGTAAAACGTATTTCGGTAATACGTTTTAACCGTAACACGTATTTTGGTAGTACGTTTTATTTTATCTTAAATAAGATTAATTATTTTAATTACGTTTTTTTATTAAAACATATTCTATAAATATGTTGTAAAATTGAAAACGTATCCTTGGAATACGTTTTATAATAAAAAACGTATTTCGAGAATACGTGTGTTTGATTTTTGTCTAGAGATTTTTTTTTATTTTTTATTTTTATTTTGTCCACTTATTTTTAATTATTTTTAAATAAATAATTGTTTCATGAAAGTGTAGCCCAATATATATATAAAAAAAGTGTAGCCCAATATTTCCTAGCGTTTCCCCTCGTCGACGGTTTCCGGCCGGCCGTTGTCCTTGTTCCACTTCTCTCTCTATCCCCGCTGGTGAAAATCTCTTACCCTTCATCAAATTAAATCGAGAAATGGAAGGGCGTCATGCATCTCTCGGCCGGCGAACGGTATTGATCTCTCTATCTTTCTCTAGATTTTGCTGAAGTTGTGAGGCTAATTTCGATATTAATCGTCTGTCCCTCTGGAAGTTGGAAGAAATTCGACAGAAGCGAGCAGCAGAAAGATTGAGCAAGGCCTCTTCCGGCCCGGATCTCACCATAACCCCCACCGGTGATGAATCTCTTCTCTTCTCTCACTTTTCTGTTTTAATTTCTTATTTCCACTGATATTTATCTCTTATTCCTAACCCAATATCTGCTGAGATCCTTTGTTTTTTTTTTTGTTTTTTTT